TTTTACTCAGTGTAGGCTATTGTACAGAGCCGTTGTGATCCAAGTTGATTTAGCTGTGGCGTCCAAGTAAATGTAACATAAACTACTGATGCATTTGTCGGCCACGTCGTCAGATTACCAATTTGCATGCCAGTAACACTCTTGGATACGATAATATCTGTAATACCGGTAAAATTTGGATTGCACATATTCATCGCAGATAGATTGAAGGTCTTTGAAATACCCACACTAGCTTCTAAACAGCCTGTGAGAGGAAGAATGACGGGTGCTGTTAAGCATATGGGTTTTGGCATGACATAAATCAGAAATTGAACAGGTACAGAACTCATCGGTGTGGTATCTGTTTCGTTAATAAAATCTTCAACCTATACAAAAAGTAATAAATTTTTTTGGCGAAAAATTCGATGTTTATTATAGGAAACATTGACTTTCTGTTTCAAACGAATCACAAAATAATCTTCTATTAATCCAGCAATAGATCATTAGATTATATACTGAAGCAGTACAATAGGCAAGAAAAATACACAAATAGAACAAGTTTCAGTAGTGATACAAACCTTTTGATCTGTAGTTTCTGACAAAAGTCACTAATATTTAGTTGATTTTTTTTTTTAATAACAAAGATTTGCCTCTTGACGAAGACAACTTCGAACATTTGCTCTTATTATTTCACAGAAGACATGTAGTGAAACTTTGTTCACAGTTGACAGGTAGCCCGACCAACACAGTCCAGTCTGCCTTATTCAGACCAGTCTTGATATCGGTCGTGAAAAATCGAAATTGGTTCTATCTGTGCAACATAGACCACAAAGAAGACAAATATGAAATGTTTCATCAAGAAGTAATTCATAGTGACTAATTTGTTTAAAGTAGACTATCTAAAGTGTTTCCTTACTTTGATACATAGTACTAGGGCACGAGCTCCTATAAAAAGAATTCGAAAACTCCATCTTACATGAAAGTGATTTTTATGTTGGAAACATGCCGAAAATAATATCCACACAGATACCATAAGGTATTTTGCTTTTGTTAGTAAGAATTAATGAATTTCAATTCGAATGATTTATGGATGAAACGAAACTATTAGTCTTGATTGTTCGATAAAAATAAATCAGATCATGACTGTGGTTGAAGAATTAGTGATGCATGAATAAAAATGTGCTTACCTGAACAGCAATTGCATACCAAACGCCAGCTTTGCGACCTGTGAATGTGATGCTGCAGTCGGACAGGTTTGTACCATTAGGTACACTGCTTGGATAACAAATATCACTACATTCATCAACTGCCTGACGGATTGGATATGATGAAGTCGATTTTAGTGTTCCTTGAGTTTCAGTAGTAGTTATATTGATTGTGATTGTTGTAGTTTTTATAGTGGTTGTAGGTGTCGCAACGGTTGTGAATGGCGCAACGACTGTAGTCGTAGTTACTGGTGTTGCACAACCACTACTTAGAGTACATGATGTACCATTACATATTGTCGGATCGCATTCATCACAACTACATTGACAACCATTTATACACAAAGTGGTACAGGCCTTACTACAAGCTCTTTTTCTCCTAACATGAATGAATTCTCTATCATTATCTAATTTTTCGTAAAAATGATTATCAGATGGATGGTTGATGTGTTCTTCTTTGTTGGATCGTTTTCGTCTTCGATATCCAGATGTATATGTCGACCATCGACAACGTATATCATCACCAGCATTGGCATCCGATACAGGAATATTAATTTGTATTGTTCTATTTACAATCGCATATTGTGGAGAAACAATTGTGGCAACAGGTGGAGTATTAATGAAACCATCTGATCGTTTCCGAAGATCAATGTATGTTACAATTGACCACTCAAGATTTGATTCAGCAGGATCATTTAATGGTAGCCAAGCATTTCCTCTATAAGCTAGATAAAAATGTGCACCAGCAGATAGAGTAATATTTTTCAATCGTTCACTTGTCATCATATTCAATGATGAACTAGCTGATGTACAATTAGTAAGAATATCAATTGGTGCACTTGAATAACCACCATCAGTCGAACAATCAACAACACAAGTCAGATTACTGTTTGTACTAGCATATGCACTAGATGAAATTGGTACATTGTTGGCACATTTTACATTTGGATATGTCCATGAATAAGATTGTGTAATAGTAATATCAAGTGAAGAGGAATTATCATAAGGATCAACAGGAGCCCATCTGATAGTTCCTCCATTGAAATGTTTTCCATCATTAAAAATGAAAGAATAAAATAATATGAACAGACCTAACCACATTATTTATCACTACCTATATCAATGAATCGTAGTCTATAAAAGCAAATGTGTTGAAGAATATCATATAATAAGAAACAGCTGTTAGTTATTAATCAGAAAATCTCATGAATTTATTCTTTGATAAGTAGAGTGCGCATTGAAAATCAATATCTCCCAGCAAGGTATTTTCTCAACGAACGACAAAAAACGATTATCTGTTTGATCAAGTTTAAAAGAAGGTGAAGATTTTTAAATCGAGAAAAAAAGACATTGTTCATCTCGACAACAGTTCTGAATACCAATATGTTTTGTTTCTATCAACAATTATTACCTATAAAAACAACCATTGGCGTGGAAAATTAAAAAAAAACATGGTTTTGGTGAATTTTTATCAAAATCACAAAAAAAATGGCATATTGAATGATGAAACAGACATAGAAATTGATGTCATGATCTGATATTCATTGCGTAAAAGCGACATTTTAATGAAGTAAATTCAATGAGTATGATTTTTAATCAAAGTTATGAAATTAAATTAATGGCAATGAATATTAATAACATCAAGTTTTCTGTCTCTTTCAGTATTTGTAACATAATTTCTTGGTTTTGTTAAATCCGTGGTTAGAATGTTTTTGAAGGTTTATTCTCTTGCTATTGCAATATATGGAATACACGTAGATTCATTAGTTTTCAAGAATAACTTAATTTTTAAGTTTCTTTATCAAATAAAGATTTCAAAATAAAAATTCAATATAAATATCAGTATAAAAACTCAATAGTTTCCCTGATTTATAGATTCTCATAATTGCGTGCATGTTAACGATATAAATTTCAATACCTGTAAACACAATTCGTATTGCAATAGTATCAAGTGTTCGTTAGTACTATTGTTGTTCACTGTAATGATAATAATCTACGACACATATGAAATATGACTTCTATTATTTTTTTTTTGCTTTGCCAAAGTTTGTGACGAAAAATAGAAGAAGGTTTTTTTTTAATGGAGAAGTGAATAGAATTTGCAAGCGTCTGCATTTTATATTGTTCGAAACCGTACCAGTGATGATTACTTTTCGAGTTATTTTCAGGTTGATTAATATTCAATCACACTGAGACACTTTATTAATATTCACTAATAACACGTAGCTGTGCATTATTCAAAAAATTCATTGTTAACAAAAGCAAATCTACTTGCAATATATCAATATGCAAAATTTATGAAAATATATGTTCATAAAAAAAGAAAAAGATTTTTTCTTATAGAATATTATCTAAATTTAGTTATAAGAACGAAGTATTCATTCGAAAAGATTTATTGAATACCATCGAATATCTACCTATCTACTCTTTACGAAAGTTATTGATTAACAAACAGTCAATTCTAAACAAATCTGACATCAAATCTATAATCTACTAAATATGAATAGGAAAGTTAGTAATAAAAATTTAAGAATTTGTAAATTACTTCTAAACAAACATTACTGTTGTTTAATTCGAAAAGTAAACAATAGGAGCTTTACATCCTGAGCATACATACAATGCGTGTTCTGAGAAGATTTCAATGTTACTATGATTTATCAAGTGATCATGTTTGATAAGTTTTTGTACATGGATGTGCTTTATTTTCGACAAAATGACGATAACATTCGTCTTTCAAAAGATACTACTGAAATTCAAATTTTATAGCATGTATTACTGTAAACTTCATGTCTGTCAATATCTTTTCATAATGCTTACTTTTCTATTACGACTAAAATGTTGTCCCAGGTTCTTTTTTCTTTTGTTATTGATGGGATAGATTAATCAATAGACATTCGTTATAGTTGTTTTTTATTCTTCGACGATTTATTTTTTACTATTATGGTTCGTTTTCTTCGTTTGAGTTCTTTTAACATTCTGAATATCAACGAAGAAAGAAAAACACCATATATATATTGATTAAAAATTTCTTTCTGTTCAAAAAATAAATCCAGTTGTTTGATTTAAACAGACGATTGTAAATATCTTTTGCATTC